TGATCGAGTTTGATACAAAGACGACGGACAAGAAGACGACGGCGGTGCTCAGCTTTCTGAAAGAGCTGCCTGGCGAGGCCGACCCGTAGGCGGCCTTGCATATGATACTTATGGCTTACCAATGTGGAATGTAAACTGTAGCTGTATCATCGACGGTGATAGACCATGTACACCTTTTATGCTGGCCGGTTGTACCGAAGCCCGTCCTTGTTCGCGGCCACACAAGGCAAGTCCCGGAAAAGCAACAGACTATGGAAGCTCACAGAGGCGAGTGGATTGAAGGAGACAGTTAATGAGTCCAATGGACTTTTCGTGTGCACCCAGGGCTCATTTGACAACAGACGGCTGCAGTATGCTTCCAGCCCTAGTAATAATTACCGCGCGGCAGTGAAGTCGGAGAGCGAACCGGCTCCTCGGCACATGCTGCATAAGTTCGACTCCGTTCCGACTCCGCACCATCATCGACTGGTCTGGGCACTCGCCTGCGTTCGAAACAGTATCCTGTCCCCGTCCCAAGAGTCCTGGCCTTCGAGACTCAAAAGCCCGAGGAAAATCTTACCATGCGCCCAGTGAAGTGTCTTAAGTGCATGCTTGCCCGCCCTAGTATCGCATCGCTATCGCTTGGCACATGCCCTCCCGCCTTGTCATCGGACACAAGATAACTAGCGCAAGAAGTTTCTTTGTTATCATACTACATTATTAGACAATAACGTGTATCCCCATATTACGGTACCAGCTATCTTTCCAGAGCGTCGCAAAAACTGTCCACAAATCCTGTCACTGTAGCCATAAATATTAGAGTCCATTCCACAGTGCCATTGCTCAGACGCGGCACTGGTCGAGGATAGTTTGAGGTATGTCGAACTTCGCAGACACGGACGGTAAGCTGTTGATCTGCATCAGCAGGCCGACGGCCATGTGCCAGGCGATATCTAACAAAGGCAGTCAGCAGAGGACGCAGCAGGGGTTTCCGCGCAAGGACGTACGGCAGTGAAAGGCCCAGATTCCAGCTAGAGAAGTACAAGTCAGCCGTCGTGCGCCTTCCCGTCAGCAGCCGAACTCACGGTTGTCCGTAACAAAGCGTATCAGGGTCCAGCCGCCGTTGGGGACGAGGAAAGTGTCGCGACTGTGTCGGAGGATCCTGTAAGTATAGGACGAGGGAGATCAGGCATGCCGATCACTCACTATATCGGGTTTACGGTGTTGATTCCAGTGCCGTCGAATGTACCTGTATTGGAGCCCAGGCTAGAGTCATCGACATCAGCAAGACATGCCGGCACACGAAAGACATGAGAGCTTACATGAACGGCGCATGGCCGTGAAGATGGAACGGGTGCCCGCCGGGGCCTTGGTTCACCTGTGCAGATATGTCAGCCACATCGCATCTCAGAGCGCTGCAACGCAGCTCACCAGCAAAATGTCAACAGTCTGGATGGTGTCTTCAGTGATCATGAACTGGTTGCCCAGCTGCAGGCTAGGGCCCTCCGGAGCGAATGACTGGCCCTTCTGACCGTCCTGCACGATCTGCAGCAGAGTCGACGTGTTCGTGAGTGGTTGCCAGCTCTGTCCTGTGCGTGAGCATTCACGAGCCAAGGAAACGAGAAGCCTGCCCGCGCACCGTGCCGTTCATGAATGCAATCGCTCCGCCATCGGTTGACTGGGTGAGGGTGAAGTCGACCACGTAGGACCTAGCAACCGGTGGTTAGCACGCCTGAACGCTCTGCAGGCAGCACGACGTACTTGGTGCTGTCCAGCGGCGTCTTGGCGATGGCCGGCACCAGTGTCGCGACGTTGAGGTCAGAGAGGCCCGAGCCGGGCACGCCAGGGTCCGTCGAGGCCGTCGGCAAGGACTTGTTGCCTCCGTACCTGATGATCCCGCGAATGTCCGCGTTGGCACCCGGGAGGGTGGCGACGCTCGCGAGCTCGGCGCGCATCCAGTAGTTGCCCTGGGGCTCTGCTGTCTGGTTCGTGGTGATGAGCACCGAGTAGCGCTGTGCTACCTCGATCGCGACGCCGGAGACGACCTGGGGCTCGATGAGCGTGCTGTCGGCCTCGATGACGGTCAGCGAGTGATAGTCGACGGAGAAGCGGATCGGGTCTTCAGAGCCCTCGTTGATAAGGCGCAGGCGGTAACTGTGGAATGTGTTAGTGAGGAAATAATGATGAGCGTGCAAAGCCTTACGTCTTGTTAGGCTTCAAGTCAAACTGCAGCGTATCTTCAGACCACTGTGGATACGACGCGCGATGCAAGAACTCACATCAAAGTAGTTGGTACTGCCGTTGTATTGTCCGATGCCGTTGATGGCCTAGCAGATCATTAGGGCATCCGCAGTGACAACTGGTAAGTGACTTACACCACTGTCCGGGACCTGGAGTAAAATTGGCGACAAGGAGCCATTACCCTAAGCGAAGTCAGTAATGTTGACAAAGAGATCACACTGCATAGTGCGCACCGCGGCAAGCTCTGCGGCAATGATACCGCTGAACGTGTGGTACACATCGGTCAGCACGACAACGAGGTCTTCGTCCCAGGTGGGGAAGTTGGGAGGGTAGGACCGTGGGTGAACGATGAGCGCGCCTTCAATACCGTCGGTGTACTCCGTATCGTCTAAAAATTAAGGTTCATCAGGGCTCTCAGGCACGAGTGACAAGGGACTCACAGTCTAGTCGCCAGTGTCAAGAGTGGTGTGTCATCAGTACGAAGATGGAAAGAAGTTTAGCGCAGAGACGCACGGGCACTGGAAGGGACATGTGTCAATTAAGGACCATCAATTCACGGACATGTTGCACTCACTGCCACCAGGTCGTGCCTGAGAAAGTATCGAGCGAGAAACTGAAAATGCCGCAGGCGTAAGTGAAAGCAGTGAAACGGAGACGAGGTGCATACTCGTAAGTAAGCGACTGGCCGGGCGGGATGCCACACTCCGTGATCGCCGCCGTGCCATCGTAGTAGTTTGTGCCGTTCTGAGGCTGGAATAGCAACGAAATGAGCGATGAGATACATCAGTGACGGAGCTGGTGTGGCGTACAATGCCGTGCCAATGGATCGCTCTTCAGGTCAGAGCCCGCATATCAGTAGATGTCATTCAAGGTACAGAAAAGCGTCTCTCACGTCGTGTTCGACATTTGGTTCGTAACCTTCACGACAAGCCGGTCACCTTGATTAGCCTCGATAGTCGGACCAGGGAACAGCCCTGGGATCACATCAGCCATCGAATCGGCGGATCCGCTACATGCACTAACCATTTACGACGAGCATGGGCTTCGTGAAGCCATCGGGAGCGCCTTCCATCTCGGTGACGACGAAGTCGTAGGTCCTCGTTGTCGGGGCCTGGCCAATAATGCTGCCAACGACGAAGTTGTTGGCTCCCGGCACCGAGACGGTGTTTCCACGACGGGAAAGCCCAGAGGAGGCGGGGGACTGGTCGGGAAGAGTGCGAGCCTCTGCGCCGGTGACGAGGGCGAGGGCCACGGAAGCAATGATGAGCGGAATGCAGAGTACAATGTAGCGCATGGCGGATGCACGACGGGGGCGATTGGAATGTGTGCTTTGCTGCATCTTGCTGCAAAACTAGAGGAGCTGGAGTTCTGAAGGGATACCGTGCTGACCTTTGCAGTATTTATACGTCTTGGTAGGGGGTGTAATGCCTTTGCGCGCAGTGTCTAGCCTTTGGCACTGCCAGTGTGACTTGCCCCGGCCGCACGCAGCGGGCACATATTTGCTCTAACGACAGCGGTCAAAGGCATATTTGGGTAGGTGTCGTGCTCGCAAAATGACTCCTGCATGATCGAGGCGACGTCCATCCTACAGATTGAGTTTCTCTTACACGACCTATAAAAAGGTAAAGTTTCAGAGAGACATCAGTTTAAAGGTACACTTACGAGGTTGGACAAGAAGGACACTGCTAACGTAGCAGACGCAAGCTACCAAAGGCTAAAGCCAGCACCTGTCAGGATCGCATTGGTTATACCGTTCCCATTGACGTGTCCAGAGCCCTCCATGTTGGGGTACATGGTGCCAGTCGAGGGGCAGGATGTTTCTGGGACACTGCACTGCCGTGAAAACGCGGGGGTCGGCCGGGACTGCCAGCGGACCGCCATGTTGATGGCGCAGAGCGTTGCACCGTGCTCTCAGAGATGCTGTGGAGCAATTTGAAGGCGAATTGCTCAGCCGATTTGCGAGCATGGAGCATTGCGTATAAGGCGAGCAACCAAGGAATGATGCGGGCTGCTTTAGACATTGCATAGGAGGAATGGCGAGAAGCGTTCGTTCCGCTTACCCTTTCGAGTCGTCAGTGGTCCTGTGGCGTCTGCATCCTGTGTAGTGCGACAGTACCGTCAGTCAGTTCGCCGATGTTGGACTGTTGTTGAGTTATCGCTCAGTCAACTTCTAGGCTAGCAGAAACAGGATAGAATGCTCAGTACCAAAGATGGCATTTCTGGCACGCACAGTCATTTCATTTCCATGTCAACTGATAGTAGCACGTACGACGTTGGACGACATTCCAGGCAGGCGGCTTCAGTCGCAGCGTCAGGGGGCCAAGGAAGTCCAAGAATACCGTAGCAGTTCATATCCGTGCATTCTGAGGACCAGCATGCCACTCTCCGCTAGTCTGATAGAGCTATTCCAGGTTCCGCGACGAGTGTGGTAGCGTTCATGCTGCGTTTGGAGGTCTATTCGCCGTCCTGAGTACGTCATGGGCGTCTCCCGG